GTTAATCCAGGCTAAAGTTATAGTCCTGTATTTGTCAGGACGTAAGGTACCACAACTGACCATTCATGATAAGCACAGGAAACTGATCAGAACATGTAATTTCTCAACTTAGCTGGTAAAAATATTAACATTTTAATGAACAGCCACATGCGGACTGAGAGTAAAGTTAACAAAGGACGTTCTTCGTTCAGAACGGATCCCAGTGTCACCAAGCTGTGGGTGTGGTCACCCTTGTTGTCGGCTGGTGACATTAGTTTGTCCCCTGGGGGCAGATGGATCTCTTCAGGCAGCCGAATTTCACGAGCCCAACAAATCGCTCCTGTCTTTTGATGAATGGCTGGAACTGACATTCTATCCAGTATGTTGCCCATACTGCCTGGTGTAGCCCCCCCCCCCCCAGCACACTGACCACGATACATGTCTGAAGATGGATGGATGGATGGATTGATTGATTTCTGGTACATACTCAAAAACAGCAAGACTCCTGTTTTATTTTTATTTTTTTTTAACAAAATCAATATCATTTTCTAAGTTACAGATTGATATAAACTATACAGTTATAAAATGAACATTCATGAAATAAATGACTTCATTTCCATATGCATATGCATGAATGGAAGATGCCATATGTGTCTCGTCATTCAGGACAGAATGGGGGCTATTCCCACATTACATTCGTTTCCTCCCTCTGTCCAAACACTTACAGTTAGGCGAACTGGCGTCTTCAAACTGTCCCTTGTCTGTGAATGTGTATGCGTCATTCTGCAGCCTGTGACAAACTGCTTGCCTTAGATGGGCTTTGCCGCACCCTGAATGCATGTGGATGGCTTGAGTGGCGAAAATGCATGATCCCTCCACTACTGCAGCAGCTGACATAGGAACAACACGACTGGCATTTATAAAGCCTCTTAATAAAGGCCCTCCTATCTGGCATCAACACTCGCAAATCCAGAATCTGTGGAGTTGCAGTGTCAGCGGTTTAAGTAGCGCTCTCTGTGCAGCTGTTATCGAAATAACACCATGGGGATGTTGTTCTGCCTCAAAGACCAATTATTACTGACTTTAAGCAGTTAACCAAGTAATACATGATGAGTTTGTTTATTGTGTGCATTTTGTTATCAACTGTGTGTGTTTTTATTACACCTACAACTGTCCTGTAGGGTTAACTTAGTTTTGTTGAAAAATTACTATAATATTACAGAATCGGGGGGTTGTGCAGTGGTTGGCACTGTTGCCTGGGACCTGTGTTGTCATGGGGTTTCCTCCAGATACTCTGGTTTCCCCCCACAGTCCGAAAACATGCTGGGTCTAATTGGAGTTTCTAAATTGCCCATAGGTGTGTGCATGTATGTATATGTGGTGTATGAGTGTGCCTATGTGGTGTATGAGTGCGCCTATGTGGTGTATGAGTGCGCCTATGTGGTGTATGAGTGTGCCTATGTGGTGTATGAGTGTGCCTTGTGATTGGTTGGTGCCCCATCCTGGGTTGTTCTCCACATTGCACCCATAGGTTCCGGACCCCCTCTTGACCATAAATGGGACAAGCAGTTTTGGAAGATGGGAGGATTATAGAATAGGCTTCATGTTTTATAATAATAATAGACACTTTATTGATCCCCTTGGGGAAATTGTCTCTACGCCTCCCTTGAATTGCTCTTTGTAGAGTGAGCTGTCTGCGAAGGGCAGCCACCTGTTGGGGAGCTGGGGGTTAAGGGCCTTGCTCAAGGACCCACAGATGTGCTGAGGTTGGGTTTGAACTGGTGACCTTATGATTACAAGCAGACAGGCTTAGCTCACTGAGCCACGATTCCCCCACCCAGGGGTGCCACTCGTGCTTTTAGGCCCCAAACCCTGACCACTCTAATTATGTTAGAATTTTTTACGGCCCCTGCCACTCAGGGGCCCTTGTAATCATCCTAACTCCCCCCTCCCCCCCTCTATGGCACCAAACAGCAAAACTGTCTGGTCTTTTAATTTAGCTAATATGCAGTTTAAGTAGCATCGACCGTGTCAGGGCCCCTCGCGCTTGTTGCAACGTGATTTTAAGGTTAATTTTGGCCTTGGATGAAGTAGCCATTCCATGTTTTGACTTTATAGTTTCTCTTTATAAATAAAGAGAATATAAGATTAATACGGTGAGTGTTGGCCTGCCAGCAGCGATTTTTCATCCATGACGAAGCGTGATCAGCTGTCCAACAGAATTAATTGAAAGAAAGTGTCTCTCCATTAATCACCTTTGAACCCCAGTCTTACAGAAGGGCAGTTCCACAGCTGTCACTTTCACTTCTGCTTACGATAGAATATTTACAATGTGAATTGAATTCGTGCTGAGGAAGTGCCTTGCAGATTGTTTGCATCAGGATTTTTGTTCCATGATCACTTTCTTTGAACTATGGGTTCCTGAGCAGGTTTGGTGAAGCAGATCCAGGCTGCCCTGTCCCAGTATCACTGTGCTGTGGGTCCTGTACATATTTTTATAATAATTATAATATATAATAATGTTTTATTTGTTGATCTATTATTTACCACCATTTCACACAGCTTCTACCTTTGCTGAAAGGTACCCTGCATTTGTTGATTTTGGATTAAATTAACTTCGAATGAATCAAATGTCATTTATTATACTGTCCCAAACCCCCCCATCCCCCCCCCCCCCCACACACACACACACACACACAGGTTTGTAATTATATCTTTGTGGGGACTCTCCATTCATTTCTATGGGGAAAACACTAATCCCAGCAATGACGACTTTAACCCCTACCCAGCCCTAACCTTAACCATAAGTAACCAAACAGAATACGAGACTTTTGGTCCCCACAATGTAATCTATACATGACCGACACACGCACACTTACATGGCTATCAAACACGCACACACACAGATACATACACATATACACATATAAATATTATTTTCATATATATATATATGATATTTTTTTCTTGTTTATAATTCTTTATATCTGCTGTATATCTGTTAGTGTTTCCTTTTAATGCATCAGAGTTCATTTCTGAGAGAATATTGTTTTGTTGACTAGCAAAACAATTGTTAGAAATGATTTTATATTAGTATAAACATCGGGTGTTTAGTTTAAAAGTTATGGATGGATTAATAGCAAAATCAGCAAAAAAAAAATGTTATTTTGACATGGTAAGTAACAGATGGAGTTTTGAGCCCCACTGATTATGTAATACTGGCATTGTCAATAGATCCAGGTGCTTTTTTCTGCAGATGTCCACCATAATACATAATACATAATAAAACCTTGTTCTAAGGCCCCTTTGTATACATATATTCTCCACCAGAAATTGATATTGAAAATGTTTCGTTGCTTATTTGCCTGTAGCTGACAATGAAAATAAAAGTAACTGCAAAGTAAAATGTATCTTTGCAGTGGCTTATAATGGCAGTCTTCAGAAGCAGGCCCCCCCTGAAGGGCTCTGCAATCTTGTAGATGCTAATGCAATGCAGGGCCATTGTCTTTCGACTGCTTATTATTGTGCTGGTTTAACCCTTAAGGGTAAAACAGGATCCCGTGGAAACAGCAAGGGGGGGGGTTGAAAACGGCCGACATTTTTGAGATAGTCAGTGAGATAATTTTCGCGGGAAGGAGACCATTAAAGACCAAATTACACCGCTGTTCTCCTGGATCATGAAGAATATAACGTAGTTGAGCTTTGGGTAGAATATCTGGTGGTTCTGTGTGGTGGGCATCCAGCCAAACCTTTTACCTCGAGGTGCCACTTCCCAAGGTCGCGTTCATTCTGTGCACTTTTATGAAGTATTGATTTTCCAATAGAGTCCGCAGGTGTCTCTGTCTTTCCCGTAAATCCCTTGTTTTCCCTAACGTCCCCCTGCTCTGCTGGTCCTCGATATAGCCTTTATCGTTGGATTATGCTTCATTTCAGCCTTGTCATTCACTAAGCCATGTTTTCAGGCACTTAGTATGCTACTGCATATACATCTTCAGATTTATTTTCTGTCAAAACCATTGCGAAAATATGGGAAGCATTTTTGTATTTTGTACAAGATATTTTTGTCTTGTTTCGATTGTAAGATATATTACTAATTCCATTTGATGATACTAAACACAATTCATAACTAGACGATAAAGTCTTGTCATTACCTCTGAGCACTGTGCTTAACATCTCCTTTCTGCTTAATCTCCTCTTTGAATAGCAAGTCAAGTGACTGGACAGTGAGTTTTATAGAAGTGCTATTTCTCCGGAGATTAGTGAAATATGTCAAAGGAAATAAGCCGGCAGAAAGGCGATATCCTGACTTAATGAAAACCCGTTGTTTTGACCTTGGCCCGCTAGCTTTAACCGGCATGAATGGGTTTTTTTCCTCTGCAGTAATGCAGAGGGATTGTTTTCCACAGAGTCCCTGGCAGATAACTCTGAAGGGCTATGTTTGATTAAGGGTCTAATTAAAAGGCTGCTTGGCTGGAGAGGAACAGTCAGAGCAGGTATCCAAGGCTTGGCCTCGTTCTCCTGGCATCCGGTGGGTAGTAACGACAGCGGTGATGAGGTCGCCTGACGTGACGAAAAGGCAACTGGGAAGAAGTTGGCTGAATAGTCCCTCATCTGCCCAAGTGCTGAAAAAATCTTGGATTACATTCAAATTCCACTGCGTATGAACTTTCTGCTGAGTAGCTAATTGGCAGCTTACACAGGCTCTCCCCTGGGCAAAAAATACTCTTGTATTTAACTAATTTCTATTACAGATCACCCAGGTAGGAGTAATTATCACTTAGGCACTCTACCAATTGAACAATTGTCAGAGATCCAGCTCAGCTGAATGTAGCTTGTACTATTCAGACACTGTAATTAAACGATTTAGGTTCCCTTATAGTACTTAGCAAATTAACAAAATTTATGAACAACTTGACAAATTAAAATGTTAAAGGGAAGGGCATCCTCTGTACCCTTGGAGCCTCCTGCTAATCTCTCTCACTCTTGTCCTCTTGCGTGTTCATCATGCTCTACTACTCCAGTCCATGTTCTACAAGGGCATGGCCGGCTCACAGGTGACGCTGAGCAGTCTGGTGAACCAGGCGCGGGCCTTGCTGGAGGAACAGGCTCGCCTGCTGCTGACGGAGCCAGAGAGGCAGACACTGAGCTACTACCTGGAGGAGTACCGGGAAGCCCACATCGGGGTGGAGCAGCTCGTCATGGCCCTGTTCGAGCTGCTCACCACTCACGCCAAGGTGATCCTCATCAACCTCGCTGTTTATTCAGCTTGTGAACAGGGTGCACAGTAGTGATGGGCTAATGAAGCTTCATGAACCATTTGCTGTATTTTCTGACCCCCCTAGATGGTGCTATCTGTTCATAAAAGGGCTCAACATGCTCCAAAGCAAACCAAGAGCACCATCGAATGGGTCAAAAAATACAGCAAATGGTTCATGAAGCTTCATTTGCCCATTACTGACAAGCTGTGCATACAGTGTGGATTCTTAGCTCTTCTCAGTACATATCTGTGTGGAGCTAGTGCAGTGTTTCAGTCAGTCATGGTTAAATCAATTCAGTGGTACAATTCACATCAGAATGGCAGTTCTCCTGCTCTTCCAGTGACCCACCTCCCTCATGTTCCCCCCCCTTTTCTCTTAGTTCTCATTAATGTCGGAGGTGCGCAGCCTGGTGGCTCCGCATGACCTAGAGCGCTTTGACGGGCTGGTTCTATACCACGAGATCGAGGCAATAAAGGCTCGCCAAGCAGGAGCCGATTCCCTGAACGCCAACCCCTACTCCACAATGGCCTACCGCGGCTGCCTGAGTTCACACTCCACCTTAAGGAAGTCCAGCACCATCAGCTCAGTGCGGGTATGTCAGCCATCAAAACAAGCTGCGTCCTGGTCTTCAGCACATTGGCTCGCCCATTGCTTTTTGGGATCTCTTTGTGTTGGTCTTCAGTTTAAGGTAATACTTTATTTGGATAGTGTGCCTACAGAGGGCATACAGAGTGTTTGTAACATCTGAACAACGTTTAGTTGAGATTCAAAAATTCTTATAACATTGGTTGAGTGAGCATTCATGTTGAATTATTCTAAGAATATGTAGGTATGTTCATGAATCGTTACATATACTCCATAGTTAAACATCCACAGACACAGTGAAACAGTTGAATTGCTGAATCTCAATTAAGTTATTCAGATGTTACAACTACTCTGTTAACCCTCTGTAGGCAGAATTTCCAAATAAAGTGTTACCCAGTTTAATATTGTGACTGTTATCTGAAAAACACAATTCCCAAAAATTCAGTCTTTCTGGAATATGGAAAAAACATTTTCACAAGTTTTCCCAAAAAACTGCCAAAAACCCAAAACAATGTAATGAGCAGTTACTGTAATTCCAATATTTATAATTCCACACATCACTGTAATTTCAATACTTGAAATTCCACATATTACTGTGATTCCACTACTTTTGGCGGTAATGAGTAATGTAACTATAATTACCTTTTCAAATTAAATTACAATTAAAAAGTACAGAAATTTAAATGGGCTTGTTCCTTGTTACTTTTGTCTATTATTGGACAAATGCAATTATTAAATATTACTGGACAAATGCAACTTATTTCTCTAATATTTTGTTTATGGTCTAATATCATCTGACCTTACAGTGGCGCAATGAATGTGTGATTTTAGGTACAGTGATAGACAAAATTTCTGTTTTATTGTCTCGCACTGTGTCACAGGAGGAGCGCTAAAATAATAACTACAGTGCACAGGCACGATGTCTCCGCTATGCTTGAAAATCCATCAGCAAGGCATATGTATGTTGCAGAGACAGCTATCAGTACTGGTTCCCCAATTCCCCAACATCTATGCAATGTGTTTCAACAGCAGCACGATGTTAATGGGATCACTGTGCGACATTTAGCATATTGTTACCTATCCTGATTAAGCTATATAACCCACAATAGGGTTATACTATATATATTTATATATATAAATATTTCAGTTTACTCTGAATGTAGGCACACTGATTAAATCCATATACCACAGAAATAATTTAACTGAGTAAAAGTGGTGCATTTATGATTTTATATATTAACAACATGAAACTGTAATAGGTCGAATAATTGTGCTGAACTTATTAAAGCAATGTAAACTAGCATAAACATAAATACTAATTAAATTGATAAAAATTAAATTGATAAAACATCTTTTCTTTGGTCAATTAGATGGCAAATGCTATCAGTAGACAGAGGAGAATGGGCGTATTCCATCTATAGTAAAAAGTCTCCATCATCAAAAATGGACATATGCAGTTTTCATTGGACAACAATGATATATAAATGCCAACCTGTTTACCTCTGTGTCACTGTTAGTGTTTTGCTGCATGCCTAATCCTTATCTTACCCTTACGTCTTATCATAAAAGCTTCAGGGGATGTTAAGAGAAGCTCCAGGTTCCCCCATGACCTTAAACTAGGAAAAGTAGGGAGGGATGTTTACTGACAACTAAAATATTTTCCTTGAGAACAGCTTGTGGCTCAAATCCTGAGTAGGCGGCAGGCAGTCTGTCTTGTGTGCAACATATGTGTGATAGTAGTAGTAGAGTAGTATGTGATAGTACTCCCAGGTCTAACTTTATCTAACTCACACACCACATATTCATTGAGTGTAGCATTTTTAACTTGGCAGGCAATAAGCCTTCTTTTGGTGTCACAGCCCATCATGACGTCATCACGGCTCTGTGGTGGGCGGGGTGTCCCTTTCCAAGGCACATCCATGTGCAGCTCACGGTTCTAGAGAACGAATAATTCAATTCAATTCATGAGCCTGTTTCATTTCATTGAGCTTTAATGAGATCTGAGGTGGCCGTTTGAATTCTCTACTCAGTTTGTTGCATATATGTGGGGGCTGTTTCCCTAGGGAGGGTGTGTGAGGCCAGTGTACAAATTCACACTGTAATGTGCAGAAATGCAGACAATTCAATCACTTATTTATCATAATTGTTATTATATTATAGATTATATGTCAGTCATTTTTGATAATATTCATCTTTGATATTTACTCTCACAGTCAAGGGTGGTGTTTTTGTTTTGGGGTTGGTGGAGGGGGGTGGGGGGGGGGTCACTCAAAGAATCCCCTGCCCAGTGTGCCCCCAAACCTCAGGGGCCCCATTCCCCAGTGTGCCCCCAAACCTCGGGGCCCCATTCCTCAGTGTGCCCCCAAACCTCAGGGGCCCCATTCCCCAGTGTGCCCCCAAACCTCAGAGGCCCCATTCTCCAGTGTGCCCCCAAACCTCAGGGGCCCCATTCCTCAGTGTGCCCCCAAACCTCAGGGGCCTCATTCCCCAGTGTGCCCCCAAACCTCAGGGGCCCCATTCCTCAGTGTGCCTCAAAATCTCGAGGCCCCATTCCTCTGTGTGCCCCCAAACCTCAGGGGCCCCATTCCTCAGTGTGCCCTCAAACCTCAGGGGCCCCATTCCTCAGTGTGCCCCCCAACCTCAGGGGCCTCCATATAAATGTGTTTGAGTGGTGGTACACTCCACTACTGCTCACAGCCCTTATACTAGTGGCCAAAATTGTAGAAACACCTAACATTTTTGGCATTACGCTTTAAAAAGTACTACACTAATATTGACAGTACTGTTTATAAACAAAGAACGTTACAAATATCATACACTGGGGCAAGAGTTGAATAAAATTCTGCAATCTCGAATAATTGGAAGCATTTCCACAATTTTGGCCGCTAGTGTATTCTCTTAGTACACAGTTGCGTGTTCAGTAGCCCTGTGAACACAGGAGGCTGTCCTCACGCCTCTGCATCCCCTTCGTGTTCCCCCCAGACCTGCAGCAGGCTGCACGGCAGCAGCGAGGCCCTGTCAGAGAGTCACAACGCCCTGCCGGACATCTCTCTGGTGAGCCCCAGAGTCATGGTTTGTCACCAAGTGTGAAGTCCACAGATTGTCCTGCTTGCTAGAGGAAGGCACTGTGCTTTTGGTGGAGGAGGGAACAGGCCAGTGTGGGGTTTGGCGGGGGGCTGCAAAAAACTCTGCTTTGTACCTTTCCAGAGCTGTGGGCAGAGGCCATGGTGCCCTGGTCCCCATCTGTCACGCTAACACCAAAGTTCAAGTGCAAGGAGTCTCTGTTATGGGAATGAAGGACTGCTGGAATATAATCACATTTAAATTAGTGATAATGTTATATACTATACATTCTGGTCACTGTGAATGTGTAGTTCAGTGATCAGTAAATAATGCATTACTTCACTGGGTTTTCTCCAGATATTTTTAGAAAAGCCTGATGTTAATACAAAGAAGGATAAATTGAAATTTGTTGTTTGTCATTACATGTTTGTTTACTGTGGGACAGATGAGTCTTGAAAACATCCTTATAAACACATCAGTGTCTGTAATAGCTGAGTTATTGCTTATGAGTTTGAGTCTAAATTGCTGATGCTATCATAATTCTGGAAGTCTATCGGGATAATCCACATTTTAAATGTACTTTTGACATGAAAAGACAGTAATGACTGGAAATGTTCTAAAGGAAAAATATAACTGTGATGCTTGAAACTTGATATGAACTTCTGGTAAACATGTCTTTCTCAATGACATCATAAAAAATATCCAATGGATACTTTTGACACTTTGTATGGTCTTAGTGGAAATTAATATTGTATTACTATTGTATTACTGTAGCAGTGGATGTGAATTTCTGTAGGGGATACAATATCTAGATAATAACCCTGCAGTTATTTTTGTCTGCATGCTTTATGAAGAACTTTATTTAATTTATCCACACATTGATTCCTCTTACATCTGCACATCTGTGTGCATTTGACTGTGTTCATGACTTTTGCGATTCACTGTGGATGAAATGTTAATAAAAACTCAGCATGTACACAAATCCTTACCTGTGATTTTTTTATTGAACTGAATAACAAATCATCTCACTGAAATAATAAATAAAACTATAGCAGTTTTTTGTCTTGCTGTGGTTCTGATCGGTTCTGACACTTTACGGTTCTGGGGTTAAGCAGTGAATGGGTGCCACTGTTCATGCCTGTCTCCTTCTCTCCAGGATAACGTGCAGCCCACCATTGATTCCCCTCCGTCCTTCAAGCCACCCCCTCCCCCGACACTATCAAAGCGCACCACCCAGCGGGCTCAGCCCCAGCGGCCCTCCTCAGCATCTTCCCAGTCAGCACTGTTCTGTACGGCACCCTCTGCTGGCAGTTCCGCAGAGTGCAGCCACCCTTTTCCTGAGAAGGAAGCGTCCCCTCGGCAGACCCTGAGGAATCGGCAGCCCCTCAAGACCTTTGCCTGCCCAGAGGCCCCCACCAAGGGCAACCCCGTGCCTGCTAGCCCTTCGTCTGGACTGCCAGGCTCTGCCTCGACTGCACCACAGTCCAGCCCCAGTAAGCCACCGTCCACATCTCCCGCCTCCAAACCACGCTTCATCATGGTGGACGTGCACCGGCCCGGCATGGAGCCGGGCACCAGTGGGGCTCAGCCGGTCCCACAAACGCGAGGTGAGGGTGCAGTGGGTAAGTCCCCTGGGGGCTGGAGCAGCGGTTAGACCCCCAGTGAGGGTACGATGATCACGCGCTTTGTGGCCGCTGTAGGGGCCGCCCTCTCGCAGCTGTCGGGCAGCGGTCAGACCCTGAGTGAGGACAGCGGGGTTGACATCGCCGAATCTGGAGGCCTGAGCAAGGAGAGCAGCCCCCGGCCTGGCAAGGCACGGCCATCCCATGAGCCGCAGCGAGTCAAGGGGCTGGGGACGGAGGCCGAGACCCAGTCGGTGAGAGCGGTCTGGCGTGTGGCACGTTAGCCCCCAGCACAGGGAAAACATGCGCTCCCGTTTGCAGGGGAGGAAGCTACACAGCTGATGTTCTTCACTTATTTAGTCCGAGAGCAGAATGTGTGTCAGTCATGGTCTCTGGGGTGTCCTATCACCCCCTGCTGAAAAAACAGCTCAAAACCAGCTGATCTGGCTGATCTAAGATGGTCTTTGATGGTCATGCCCCAGCTCTTGCTGTTCTTTGATGGTTTAGCTGGGGTGGGTCACCAGCTAGTGTGGCCAGCCTACCAAGCTGGTCATGCAGGTATGAGCAGTTAAACCAGTTTGATTGACCATCATAAGCTAGTATGCCCAGCTAAACCATCAAAACATCATGGGAAAACATACCTTAAGTTGGCCTATCATAAGTTGATCAACCAGCTTAACCAACTTAACCAACAAGTTGGTCAGTCTGGTTTTCTCTGCAGGGGGCCATTATACACATCATGCAGTTTAAAACCTGTACATTTTTATCACACGTCTTCAAAGTCATGACTGTTTTTTTATGAACAAATAAACAGCTCCATGTTGGTGAAAAACTTTGTTGTTTTGTCCGTCAAAATGCGTCAGCTTAGCTATTTCAAAACTTCCGCTAAAGTCACCCCAGTTTTCACAGCAACCATCCAATACATCAACTAACTTGACCACTGGCACGCCTCATATGGCAAATCAATAGCGCACTGACTTTTTATACTACTAAGTTAATTAATTGAGTGAGCTTGTGATCAAGTTTAAGGAATACATGGAAATGGCTGCGGTTCCCCTGAGGAGAGATTGGGGGACTGAAGCGGTGTTCGTCTAGCCATCCAACCAGATATCAATGACTTTTTGGAGAAAAGAAGAAATTACTGTTAATTTCTATTGTGTTGCTCTTCATATGAATGCATTCTAATGTTAAATTGTATTTTTTTGTTCTGGGAAAATATATATTTACTACCCAGAAAAATTGTTTTAAACATTTCGTTTGACTAACTAAGACTTTTGCACAGTACTGTAGGCAGGTAAAGCGTAGCCACTGGCGTTTGCTGCAGTTGTGAGTCGGCCTTGCTAGTCAAAGCTCATCATCACGATGCAGTGAGGAATGGCGCCAAGATGGCGGCTTTATGTGTTCAAGGACTGCAGGTTAATGTCGTTGACATCAGGGGACTGGGGTGCCCAGTGGGGTGTTTTCACTGGGGTGCCCAGTGGGGTGCTTTCACTGGGGTGCCCAGTGGGGTGCTTGTAGACTTCACTGGAGTGCTCAGGGCTGTCCACTGGGCCAGTGTTCAAACACATGCTCACCATTACTGCCATCACATCTGTCCCGTATTCCCCTCTCCAACCATGTTGCTTCCTGCTTGTTTCTCTCCGTTCCTGTAGATGGGGACACTAGAGCTGAGCTCCTCTCTGGTCCGTGTGACCCGGAGCGCCAGCACGCTGGGAATCGCCATCGAAGGCGGCGCCAACACCCGCCAGCCACTGCCTCGTATCGTCACCATACAGGTCAGTCTCCGTGTGCAGGATTCAGGCCCGCGCCATGCCGCCCGGCACAGCCTGGGGGCAATCTGTCCAGCTCTGTGGGGTTATTTTTCTGTTCCTGTGCCCTAACCCTTAACCCTAACCCCCTGGTTGACATTTACAAGAATGAGGCCCTGGGTTTTCATGCCCTCTTCCTCGAACCTTTCACTGATCCTTACCTCAGGAAGCAGATCTGGTTGGATGCAAGTAAAAATAATGTTCTCTGTGCAAAGCCAGTGAAAATCACTCGATAACCACAGTTGACTCTTTGAAGTACCTGTTTCAGACATAAACGACGTGTGATGGATCTCTACAGTCTTTCGGGGGAGAGATCACATGCCGGACGGAGGGTCCTGAAGCTGCTCAGCCACTGAGACTTAGCCAGGCAAAATTCAGACAAAATATAGTTGTGAGTCATTACATCTTTTTGAAACTTGAATTTATGGCATGTTAATACCAGGTAAAGCAGATTAATCAACATTTGGGGAAATAGAGTAAGAAGTCATTGTTTGGTCATTCAGCAATGATTCAATATGAGATGGCATCTGACATTACAGATATGAGAACAGATTCCCTTTGCCAACTTCTTCTTCTTATAAACCCTTCTGTGTGAAGAAGATTTAGTCTGAAGGCTGAGAACAGGAAATGAAATATTTTATCGAATCAGGGTAGTATTTATTGTTTATTTTCTGCCTCCAATGTATGTACTGTAATGTTTATATAAATGATTACTTAAGACTGCACCTGTTAATGATATGTGTTCTTTGGGATGCATGTGGCACAAGCAAAGAAGCACAGCAGGTTGAAAGGGAGCGTCTGTTTCCTGTGTAGGGTTTCAAGTGTGGGTGTTAGTGGGTAGATCACAAAGAAGCAATGAGAATAGACTGTGGCATAGATGTATCTTCTTGGTGATGCTTATGAAATGCGACACCAGACACGTCCGCTGATGAGATGCACTGCCTCTCATTGTTCCTGGCAGTTTCCTTTGCTGATTTCCTTCAGTTATTCATGCAGAATGTCTGTAACAGAACTTCACATCACTGAAGCCCCAGAAAGTCTGATCACTGTGGTCTGGACAGAGGTCCGACTGTCACTCAGCACGTTCCCGATAATTAAAATTATATTACTATTACTGAAGGATTTATTGGGCCGTTCTCATTATCATGATTCTTCTTTTCATTAGACTCACTCATCGGAGGAGATCATCATACGTTTCATTTTTATGGACGCTCTTTGAAAAGGCACATTGCAATAGAATTTATTTTATTGAGTTTAATCCACGGTTTCTGCACTTAACTTTGTGGAAATTGCTTCCATGACATCCAGCCTTATAAATCCCTCGCAAATGTTGCACAAGCCTACAGCAGAAAGGATGGTATACTGACAAATGCCCAGCTTCTGATCAAGGTCCTCATACTAAACACAACCCACTAATTGCAGTGTGTTATAGAGTTGATTTTGTTAGTCTTCTTTTAGAGTGGTGTCTGGCTGTGCAGATTGGGACTTTTGGCAGATTGATGCCGCCATTGGACCCTTGAGCGACGCCCTTAACCCCAGTTGCCCCAGGGATGCTGCATGTTGGCTGACCCTGCGCTCTGACTCCTCTAAACCTGCTCTCTCCTGTATATGTTTCTGTGGTTCCAAACCTGCTCTCTCCTGTATATGTTCCTGTGGTTCCAAACCTGCTCTCTCCTGTATATGTGTCTGTGGTTCTAAACCTGCTCTGTCCTGTATATGTGTCTGTGGTTCTAAACCTGCTCTGTCCTGTATATGTGTCTGTGGTTCTAAACCTGCTCTCTCCTGTATATGTTTCTGTGGTTCCAAACCTGCTCTCTCCTGTATATGTGTCTGTGGTTCTAAACCTGCTCTCTCCTGTATATGTGTCTGTGGTTCTGAACCTGCTCTCTCCTGTATATGTTTCTGTGGTTCCGAACCTGCTCTCTCCTGTATATGTTTCTGTGGTTCCAAACCTGCTCTCTCCTGTATATGTGTCTGTGGTTCTAAACCTGCTCTCTCCTGTATATGTGTCTGTGGTTCCAAAC